GGTTTGGGTCGTGGGAATTGTAAAAACCAATGAAGGCTGGAGACAATTCGTTCTTAATGGCTCAGATGCATTTACTGTTTGTGATCTTCCATATCCCATAAAACCCTATTGTTTCTCCTTCACATTTCTACTTATTATCGTTCTTCCTTTGTGTGGTACGTGGAGTGTGGCAACTCGAACTGGTGCACTTCTGTGCAAAGTTCAATGTTGAAAGAGGTTAGTTAGTCAGTTAGAAGACTCTATCGAATAGCAATAGGATCATGAAATCAGAAAAAGCAGGAAGACTTGGTAAAGTAGAAAGGCACATAGATGTGCTCGAATAAAAGATTTAAACAAACTCATATAAAAGCATATATGCTTAACGTTACAGAGTTGATGACTACATTGAAAATATGCTTGTGGTGAGAGCTGTCTGCAAGACAAAATTGTAGACAACAGTTTACGTCCCGAATCGGAGTCATGCGAAAAAAACAAGAACAAAGCCTAGCCTTGAGGAACTCAACAACCAATCACAGCAGACTTAACGTGTGCAAATACGAGTCGCAGATATATGTATAACTTCACAAGCAGTAGAGAATGACCTTCAGCATGAAAACAACCAATCAGAAGACGTTGCTTCTCTGCTAACAATAACGAATAATAATGTATGTGAAATTCTATAAATATCTGTTGCCTGGCCCTTGTCGTTTGTCGTTACAATATGATTTAAACTGCTGCCCCATAGATATTTCTCCTACAACAAAGTGTATGGTGTAAGGAGAGAAACTCGGAAGTATGATAAATATAACTCCATGATAAACATGTTTGACAGTAGTAAAGACCATAACATTAGATTTCTTTTTTAAAAAAAAAGCAAATATTTATACATTTATTATTCTTTATACTTTACAATTAATTAATCAGTTTCTTAATTATTTACTTAAATACTCCTCCAGTTTTTCAATGTCCGCTTTAATTGATTCATCCTCCGGTTGTAGTTTATAAGCAGCTTTGTATTCGACTAAACCTGTCAGTGAAGAAAACATGCAGAAAAAGACATGAAAACAGAAAAGTTTGTAAAAAAACAGTTATATCATATTATTTACTGATATTTCATAGATTATTATTATTATTGCTCCATTTAGTTCCTAGTGGTACATAGGGCTTCAGCTACACGTCTTTATTGCGTTCGGTCCTCTACCAACGTTTTCACCTGGCTCCACATCTGCCCACATGCTTTCATCTTCTCTTCGCATCGCCTCCTCCATGTCACCCTCGCACTGACGACCAACTCGCCGCTTCCCATTCGGGTTCTACTTGGGAGATAGCCTGGCGTGTGATGTCCCTTGGTGGTTTTCTCAGAGTATGGCCAATCCACCTCCATTTCTTCCTGCTTATTTGTTGCACAATTGCTTCCTACTGGGTTGGTTCGCTCCCAGAGAACCCTGTTGCTGATATTTTATGGCTGGCCATCTGATCTTGAGTAGTGTTGAGCAAAGACAGCTATTGATGGAAGTCTGTAGTTTGTTCGAAGTGCCTTTCGTGACGCGGCATGGCTCCAGGTCTCTGATCCGTATATTTAGTAGCACTGATTTCACATTGGAGTTGAAAATCCGGATCTTATTTTTCTGCAGAGTGCTGTTGATCTCCACAAAGACTCGAAAGCTTGCCTTGCTCTCCCAGTCCTTGCCTCGATATCCTCATTAGTTCCGTCCGCCTGTAGTTGAAACGAGGCTTCCCAGGTCCGTAGGTAGAAAAGGTTGCTTCTTTCGAATTTCTCCCACTTATGCTGGCTGATTGTTGTCTGTTTTTGTTGCTGTGGCTGTGGCTGTTGGCCAGGAATCTTCATCATCTCTGTTTTCTCTATGTTCACCTGAAGGAAGACATATCTTCTCTGGATGCTTCTTCTTCCAACTTGTTGCATTTCACTTGCATATCTTCCAGTTTGTGGGAATTTAGATAAATATATCATCAGCGAAATCCAGATCCTCCAAGTTTTTTGTGTGGGTTCATTTTACGTCTTTTCCCTCACTGCCCGCTGTCTGTTGCATTATCCAGTCTACCGCAATCAGGAAAATCATTGGAGATACAACACTGTATATGAAAATAAGTAGCATTTCCAAGTGTAGAAGACATCTGTTTTAGAATACTGTATTACAGCGAAATATATTAAATTAAATGTCAGCATGGAAGATAAACTTTTCGAACTTTCATTTTCAATCTGCTACAGGTAAACGAGAGTAGCAAATAATAATAATAACTCAAATGACATTTTAGCCTACAGTGAAAAACGATATGTGATCATTTGAAATGTATTTTGAAATAATGGCCAAAACTATCTGATTAAGAAAGATATTGCTTGTAGAGATGACTTGAAGACACACCTTTATACACTCATTGAAAAACCCGACAGTACTTATGAGATGTTGGTTGACAGTGATAGCGTAGTGAAGAGCTCACTGGAAGACGACTGGAACAGGCTTCAACCAAAGAAAATTGATAACCCAAATGACAACAAACCAGATGATTGGGGCCAGCCTAAAATAATACCCGATATGGATGTCAATTTACTAGAAGACTGGGATGATGACATGGATGTTGAATGGCAACGTCCCGAGAAAAATAATCCCGATTGTAGAGGCGAGTGGAGCCCAAGACGTATCGTTAACCCAGAATACAAGGGCGAGTGGAAACCTGCGCAAATAGATAATCCAGACTAAAGGCTGGATCCGAAACAGGCATAAAATGGACCCACACAAAAAACTTGGAGAATCTGAACTTCGCCAATGATACATGTCTGATTTCACACAAATTGGAAGATATGCAAATGAAAAGCAACAAGTTGGCAGAAGAAGCATCAAAGATAGGACTTCAGGTGAACATAGAGAAAACAGAGGTGATGAAGATCCCTCGGCAACACCACCAACAGCAACAACAACAACAGACAACGATCAGCATAAATGGAAGGAACCTGAAGAAACAACCTCCTTCACCTACCTACCTGGGAAGCATCGTTTCAACTACAGGCGGAACTGACGAGGATATCAAAGCAAGAATCGGAAAAGCAAGACAAGCTTTCACTACTCTCAAGTCTGTGTGGAGACAAAACAACAGGACTCATCATGAAAAATAAGATCCGAATTTTCAACTCCAATGTGAATTCAGTCAGTGCTATTATACGGATCAGAGACTTGCACTGCGCGTCATAAAGAGCATCTCAAACAAACCACAGACCTCATCAACATCTGTCTTTGCTCAATACTCAAGATCAGATGGCCAGCCAGAAAAGATCAACAACAGAGATCTCTGGGAGTGAATCAACCAGGAACCAATTGTGCAACAAATATGCAGGGAGAAATGGAGATGGATTGGCTATACTCTGAGGAAACCATCAAGTGACATTACTAGACAAGCCCTTCAGTGGAACCCGAAAGGGAATTGGCGAGTTGGTCGTCAGTGCAAGGGTGACTTGGAGGAGGTGATGTGAAGAGGAGATGAAAGCATGTGGTCAGACTTGGAGCCCATGTTCCTATGCTCCTCTAGGAATTAAAGGAAACAATAATAATAATAAAGGCTGGATCCTGAGTTATGCGTTCCAAATGACGTCGGCTGCGTTGGTTTTGATCTGTGACAAGCTTACTCAGAGTCCATCTTTGCTAATATATTGATTACTGATAGGGAAGAGCTTGCTAAGCTGGTGGAAACGGTATGATGCCGAAGTAGCCAAAGAACAGGCATCTGAGAAGGACTTAGAAGCTGAAAAGACATAGTTTCCACGGAAGATACCAAGGAAGAAGCTAACAATGCCGATAAGACAGAGGGTGAGACGTCTAAGCACCACAACAAATTGATAGATATCACAGTTGAAGATAGAATGAAAATCTGGGTTGCAGTAAGGTACAGACTATCGACTTTCATGTCACTAATACAGAAACCTACTGAATGAGCTGCGAAACATTATATTTGTTATTATTATTCCCTTGGGTTCCGAGTGGAACATAGGCCTTCATTAGCACATATCCGTTCCATTCCGTTAACTTTAGTCTTCATCAGCTGCTGTACGATTGCCCACAAGCTCTCATCTTCTCTTCACATGATCTACTCCACGTCACCCTCAGACTCACTCCCAAGTCACTATTTCCTATTCATCTTTCACTTGAGAGATGGCCTGCATTCCACGCGACGCCATTTGAAGGTTTTCATTTTCTTCGGAAAACTGCTTCTGATCTTTGGTATGGTGTCAGCGAAGACAGCTATTGATAAATGTCTGAATCCGTCAGCTGGAAATGCTTTTCGTGACGCATTCATCAAGTTTCTGATCCATATGGAAGAACTGACTAACTTAAGATTGATGTTGAAAATCCGAAATTTGTTTTTTATGTTGAGTGCAGAAAATTTCTAAACTGATATCAGGTTGATGAACGTCTGCCTTTCCTTCCCTATCCTGGCCGACCCCGACAACTTCATCTGTGACTCCTGTAATTGCCTAGATAAGTGGAGGAGGTGACCTCTTGTGCTTGTTGTTTCTAGTTGGTTATCTCCATCACCTCTGTCTTCTCCATTTTCACTTGAAGTCCTGTCTTCGCCGCCTGCCTCTCCAGCCAGTTTGTCAGTTTTCGCCTGTAAGTCTTCGAATTTACATGACGTTAAACATAAAAACATCGACAAAGTTCAGACCTTCTAGATTCTTCCTATCGGTCCAATGTATTCCTGTCTTCTCGCTGTCATGCGCAATCTGTTGCATAATCCAGTCCACCACAACTACGAATATCATCGGTTATAGTAGGCAGCCTTGTCTTACTCCTATATTCACTTCAGCGGCTTTGCTGAGTTCCTCCTGATTACATATACATTTCAGGAATTGACTAGAGGATTTTTAACATATGCTCAGATCAGAACATACTTGATTTTCCCATGAATTTCTGTTCTAAAGGAGGTTGAACCAAAGGAATTCATAGAATAAATGCTCTGTTTCTGTCGGATTGAATAAACTTATGTCCACTTCACTCGTACATCACAAATTACATGGATAAAAATGACCAGTTTAAGAGTAGAATGAATATACAGTAGACTATAAATAGTACAGAAAAAAAAATCAATATATATACACACTTAGTTTATCGACTAACCTTCTTTATACATTTGTAAGTTACAAAATGCAGCCCCACGTCTAATGTGTGCACGTACACGTGATTTTAAATTCTGCATTACCGGTGGTACACACAAATCTAATGCCATTGAACTATCCTCCAGCGCTTTGAAATAATTACGTAACTGAAGATGACATGCAGCTCGATTTGAATAAGCCCTTTGTATTGTATTGTTTTAAAGTTATACATTAAGGAAATATAAATGCACAAAGGATATTTAAAAGCTTATCAAATCAACAATCGATCATATGTATTAGAGGAATTTTCATTCCTATGAGTGACACAAGCAGTGCAGAACAACCTGCAACAAGGAAACAACTAATCAAAAGACATTGCTTCTCAGCCGACAATAATGTACCTAAAAATATATAAATATCTGTAGATTTTCTTAATAACGATCTGTTGCTTGGCCCTTGTCTTCTGTCGTTGCACTTTCACCCTCAAGTACTTCTGGAGTTATACCAAAAGCCCTGCTTTCCTGTTTTAGCCTTCATAACTTTCACATTTACCCCTATTTTAGACTGATGTTGAGTGAAGTATGGTTGAGATGAAGCTGCAGACTATGTGAAAGGTTGTTCAAAATGTCCTACTTAACGTTCCATCTAGTCCCAAGTAAACTTTTCGAATTTGATCGAATTTATATACCTTTAAGTAAGATCACTAGTTGAAATCATTTAGAGAACCATTGAAAATTAGTGTGTGCTGAACAGCTGTCTCATCCCTGTTTGAGACTCTGGAGCAGTATGCGCCCCTTGTGGGGGAAAATCTGTTTGGAAAATATCTCCTGAAAAATCTAATCACAACATTTGTACCTGTTTGGATGTTTCAACTAACTTTGTCATTATTATCCCCTTTTCTCCTAGACTGTATATCAATGTTCTGATATTTGCATGTCATTTGTTGACTTGATCCTCATTATTTGTCTTTCTTCAATGTTTAATCTCTAACTTCAGTTCTTCTGTTTGTGGTTATGTGATGATATTGATAATGTGTTGTTTTCCAATGAGAGAAGAGACTCTTTTCAACGAATTTATTATCAAGCTGTACAATCATATATATATATATATATATATATATATATATATATGGTTTTAGCAGACGTAATGACGGATCTCTCAAAAGATCTATCCCCCGGAAACGTCAATGGAACGAACAACTAACTAATTTTTATAGTTGGGTGCCTATCTCCAGAAAAAGGAACCTAATTCATTCGCTCTGCTTCCGTTGACTCAGAACCTGACTTCTTAAAAGCTACGCTCACAGAAAACGGTTACCCTGACCGATTTATTGACAGCAACATGAAAGATAAGCAGTCTAAAGTGGTCACCGAATCAGTTCCCAAACAAACCTTATTCATAAACTTGGAATTCAAAGGTGATCAAGATTCGGATATTCTCAAAAACTATCTCTCTGAAGCAGTCAGTAAGACGTTCTTTGCAGCAAAATAACAAATGACGTTCTTCAGCCACAAGTTGTTGTCCATCTATGTAACGGATAAGCTTCCCCGTCTAGCCACCTCCATGTGCATCTATCAGTTCACCTGCTCTTGTGGAGCAAGGTAGATTGGCCGTAGCCAGAGGACGCTTTCCACACGGATATGAGAACATATTCCAGCTTGGTTTTACAAGGGAGAAAGGAAGTATGTGCGAAGCTCTATTTTGGAACACCTGATCGACTTCTGTCACTCTGTCAACCCCGACCATTATTTTAAGATCATATATAGAATCCATGCTAACTTCCCGCGTTTTCTTCTTTATAAACTGCTAAAGGCAGGTGAGGCCTTGGCAATTCATGACTTTAAGCCAGACCTTTGTGCACAAAAGAAGTATGTACAATCCCTACTTCTGCCTTGGCCGTAGAGGGACAGACATTTATTTATTTTGTTTATTTAGTTATTCTATGTACTTTTCCCTTATTACCACTATTATTATTATTCTCACTCTGAATCTTTTTCCACTTGACCCACTTGTCATTTTTAACACAAAATTATTAAATTTTATATTTTTATTTTTATGATATAGAATTCTATCTTATCAAATTTCACACCATGTTATGTGACATTTTATATTCGTCTACTTATCTTATAATTATGTACCCCTTTCCAAAATTCTATACACCTTATGTATTATTCTATATACGACATTAATTATTTTGCCACTTGACATTGAACTATGATTATAATCACGAATATTTTAATTGCATTTCATACTACTATTATTATTATTTCATGTATTCACACCTTTGATCTAATTCCTTCACCGGATATAGTTGCTTAAAATATATATATATATACGATTGTACAGCTTGATAATAAATTCGTTGAAAAAAGAGTATCTTCGCTGAATAATGTCTTCTTAGCGCTACAATTGGGTATTATTAAATTATTTCAATGATGTGATTCTGTTTTCTAAATGAAGGTCATTCTGGCATTGAACTGTTTTCGGGAATTGTCTGGTGTGTGACTCTTGCTGACAGTTTTGATCCCACCTTGTTGGGAATGTTATACCTGACTCTCAGGTACTTCTTACAGTTGAATTTTGTTTAACTAATTTTGTTTTACAGTACTTGTTTTGTACTTAGAACCTTCTTCTGACTGTATAGCTTCCTAACGGCACTGATGAGTTAATTTTCAGTTTTTGATGTTATTATTGTTGAATAGAGCCACACATAGACTCCGACACTGAATAATCGCCTTTTTGCTGTATTTGGAGCGTTTTGTGACTGTGTGTGTGTGTCTCAAGGAAGTTTTGTGACTGTGTGTGTGTGTCTCAAGGAAGTTTTGTCAGTCATACAGTAGGACTCAGAAATCGATTCCCTGCGTTTGGACTTAAAGGAGTGGGTTTTGGTCATAACACCTATTATCCCACTGGGAGTCAAATCCATGATCTTCAAGTTACTGGGAGAGCGAGTGGATGATGGTAGCTTAATACTGTAAGTTGTTACAACTTCAAAATCATAAGCTGTCGGATTCTGGTTCATTTACCGAGCAGTAATGGTAATGTAACTTTTTAATTCTGAACTCTATCTGTTGCTGGATTGTGTTTAACTTTAACTGGAGTTCGAAACAAAATAATCAATCAGCCTTCCTTATTCTGGAGATGATTCCTCCATATAATGTAGTTTAGTTCAAAATTTAGCTTTGAATCAATTGTACACAATTAATGATTGAATATTTATGCTGGAATATACGTGATTACATCTGATTACTTATTTTTCTGCATGACAAACAGTAAAGATATTTTTTCAAGTTTGATCACGGATTGATATCGGTTAGAGAACCGTTAAAAACCAGAGAGTTCTGGACAGCTGTCTCGCCCTAGCGCTTGGGACTTATTGGTATTACGTACCCATTGGGGTTCGAACCCAAGAACTGCCTGTTTCAAGGCTAGTTCGTAGACCATTCAGCTACTGAGACCCGATTCAGCGGTTCATGAATTCTAACTTCTAACAATTCGTGAGCTTAGCGCGATGACCACATCCAACACTGTCATTGGTCAGTATTTGTCCTCACACCCGACTGGATAGACCCCACTGGTCACAAATTCTCACTCGGACTCTAGTCAACTTCGTCCTGTAGCCAGTCACTCACTAGCGAGCATCATATTAAATTTCAGATGGGTTAGTTCGTAGAAATTGGCATCACTTACATTTTACCTTAGTAAAAATCAATAAATAGGTAAATACACAGTGATAAAGGATACGAATGTAATTTTGGATTTTGTGATATAGCTTCTGTGTAGGCAACGACTGCAGCTTCATAATCTCCAGCTTGATATAATGAACTGCAAAGTGTAAAAAATGTAAGACTTTTTTTAAGTTAAAATACATATGGGTGAAAATAATGCTAAGATAAATGTGGGTGTGTCAGTGTTCCAACCACGTCTCACGTGGTCCGGGGTCATATCCTTGGTCGACGTGGCACTCCTTAACCTCACTAAGCCGGTAACAAGGCTGGTAAATGGGGAAGTTTGTATGTGAGGTGGATAGAACCCTGTCCCGTAAAAATAAAACCAGGAAATTTAGAAACACAAGTATATAAAGAATCAAGGCGCACAAACCACATACTCAACTAAAATAGTAATAACCCGATTACCAACAATAGAAATTGTGTGCAGACATTGTTTAGATGAGTTCAAACACACTGTAACACTACTCCAGTGTTTAAGAGAATAAAGGAAAAATACCTACTAACCGTCTTCAAAAAGAATGCATATCCTCACAATTTTATCAAAAAGTGTTTAAACTCGAGTCATAAAAACAACAGGAAGCCAACATCAAAGACCACAAGAAAATTCATCCTACCATATGTCAAAAAAAATATCTCTGAAATAACAGCTAGAATATTAAGACCGTTTGAAATAGATATAGCACACAAACCAGCCAACACAATCCCTTCATTCAATATTGTGCAAACCAAAATATCCAACAGAGAAAGAAGATAAAATTAATACCATTTACAAAATAAACTGTATAAACTGCAATAAACATTACAACGTTAGTCACAGTGGGCGTCCCCTTCGAATTCGAATTCAAGAACACAAAATGGCTGTACAGTAAAACATGATATATATTCTTTCATATGGATGCGTGTGAATAATTATGGACACCAATTTGATGATTAGGAGAATGAAGAAATCTTAAATAGACACCGAAAATGCCAGAGAATTCCTAGAAGCCTAGTACTCAAGAGAATCAGTCAGCAATTAACAAACACATTATTATAGACCAAATTTATCAGCTAATAAAAAGTAAACCACATGACAAGAAAGTTCGAATTCCAAGTTCAATAAAAATGAACCACAGAGACGTGAATTAACGATCATTCATGACAATATAATTCAATTTTAGATTTTCCCGTCTATTGATTGAACCGAAGTTCTCGGTCTCAGGTTGATATGTCGGCTTCTTGCGCACATGCTTCAACATTATCTGGGCATGCAATTAGAAGTTGATTGGTGGATGATGACTAGCAGTGGAATCCAGGATGTGCATTTTGCCCTATTTGGGACTCGTCACCTGGATATACCTGCATTCGGCAGTGAGTGACGATGTTAAATAATTAATTAAATAATTAGTATGACCCGTTGCACAAAAGGTGGCTCTCATGGCCCAAGAGATCTAGTGGATAACGCTTTGGCGTCTGAAAAATGGGTTCTGGGTTCGAGCCTCGGCGGGGACATCATCATTCACTGCGGAACGCAGGTGCATCCGAATGACGATTCCAAAATGGGATGGAGTGTGCATCCTTGATTTCACTGCCAGTCACCACCCACCAATCAACTTCTAGTCACAACAATAGTTTTCATGAGATACGATCATATCATCAGTCATGGAGAACTCAGAAGAAGTCGTCTAGAAGGACAACGAAAGCTTCGCAATTGAATCAACCAGCTGAGAGAACACAATTAATTCAAATAAAACCACTGTTGGAGAAACTTCAAAGCTCTAGCTTGAAACCTTATGTTCCACTGGCAACATGAAGGAATAAAACATATAATATTATAAATAAATAAGTTGAGTGAAGACCGCCAGTTCACTTAAATAGGAAGTACTTATTCATGATATAAGGAAATTGAAATGCCTTGGCTGGCCAGTGGTTAGAGTCTGACAACTATCTAAGTTATTCTACAATGAACGATATTCTCAAGTAGTCTCTCTTTCTCACAAGATTTCAAATGTAGTATGATTAGTCTAACAGCCGAGTGCCTTACTTCAAAACTATATGAAGCTGACTCGAATTTTCAGTACAGTGCTATGAAAGCGAACTTTTCGACCGAAAATAGAAAACGAGGAACTATAAAAATCCTCTTATTTCTTTCGTAAGACCACTACGATCGTGAACCACCTGGCATATAGTGGACACATTGTAAACCTGACAGATAGAATTTATTTCTCCCCAAATAAAGTAATACAGGCACTACATTAGTCACCATATAGTGGCCATTCAAAGTATCCATTACAGTCCTACTGGTGATCAGTCGTGACCCCAAATGGCTCTGTCGTAAAGTCTCCCACTGCAGCACTGTGTTACGCAGGTTTGAATCTCAGAAGTTCCTTCCAGGTTACAGATACACCTTACTGACTGGTGAGTGGCGACAAGCACGAAACCTATGTCAAGCAAGGCTTCCTTCCCTTTCGATTGCCTTCAATCATCTAAATAATAAGTGAGAAGTAAATTTCGCTCATTGTTTCATAAAAAACCACTAACCAATTAAATATTCTGAGTCTTTAGTAAACTTAGGTCTCATATTTGTTCGCACTTAGCATTAGGATATATATGTCGTCTCTTTTATAAGAAATATCTCACACTGAATGGAACTTCAAGCCTCAAAACTGCATCACTCAATGAATAGGTCCAAAAAGTAATCGTTAAGATGACTGAATACTAAAGCATGTTTCATGTAATTATTTGTTTTTAGGAGTTTGACGACGGACTGATATCAATTAGAAAGCCATTGAAAATCAACATGGAGTACTGGACAGCTGCTGTTTCATCCTAGGGCTTGGGAATCATCGGCAGTACGCACCCACTGGATTTCGAACCCAGGACCTTCTGGTTACAAGGCAAGCTCGTATACCATTCACCCACTGCGAACCGATCCAGTAGCCCATGAATTCTACCTTCTACCAATTCATGATTTAGCGCAACTGGCACCAACCAATGTCATCGGTTGGGAATCCATCCCGGAATTCTAGTGAGAAGTCGTGACCAGTGAGGTCCAACCAGTCATGTGTGAGGATGGATGTCCCACCAATGACATTGGTTGGTGCCAGTAGCGCTAAATCACGGATTGTTAGATGTAAGAATTCATGGGCCACTGAACCGGGTCCCAGTGGCTGAATGGTATACGAGTTAGCTTGACTTGTAACCAGAGGGTCTTGGGTTCGAACCTGGGTGGTGGGTGCGTACTGACGATGATTCCTAAGCTCTGGGATGAAACAGCTGTCCAGTACTCCAATGCTGGTTTTCAATGGTTCTCTAACTGATATCAGTCTGTGGTCAAACTCTTAAAAACAAGTTTAATCCTTACAAACCAACTCTTGATAATTATTTACTTCTTCCTTTCATTGTCTGCTGTTCTGAACTAAGCCTGCAACGTACACTTTGTTATAATTATAATGGTACTTGTTAAGACGTTTTATTCAGAACCACATTTTCATAGATGTCATCACCTCTCTTTCGTCTTTGTTGGCTATCTTCATTTTCATTTTGGTGAGTAAGAATATACAACACACTAGAACTTCAAGAGCTCAACAGAAATCTTAATATTCTCTAGCAATTTGTATCCAAGCAGCAATCGCTGTTAACAGAAAAAGTAAGAAAGGGGTCAATTCCTTCACTTGTCTAGGAAGCATCGTTCCAAATACAGGCGACAGCACAGATGAAGATGTCCACAAACCAGTATCGGAAGTGCAAGACAGAAATTCTTCACTCTAAAATCAGTTTGGAAATATTCTGCACTCAGCATTAGTAATAAAATCTGATTCGGATATTCAACGCCGATATTAAGTCACCCAGTCGCTTCTCCCATATGGATCAGAAACTCGGTGGAAGCGTCACAACCGATGGTTGCAGCCTTTCATTTACAGCTGTCGCGTTTTCCGGCTTCATACTGAAGACCAAATGGTTAGAAAGAATTAGCGTCAAAAAAACTTTAGGAAAGAACAAATATGCAAAAGAAACTAGAGATTCATCGGACACACATTGAGGAGACCGGTGGCTACCATCGCTCAAGTGGAAGGTGAATAGAAAACAACGAGTTAGGCGTGAGTCCAAGGATGGCGCAGAGGAGATTGTGTTAGGAGGAGATGAAAGCTCATGGAGTATCATGTAGCCAGCTGCAAGGCACTACAGGGAACAGGGCAAAATGTGGGTGTTCTGTTGAAGCCCTAGGCTCCACTCGGAACCCAAGGGAACAATACTAATAATTTGTATGCAACCAATGGTCAGTTCATGAAGAATCAAAAGACTGTTTAATTAAAAGTATGTAAGTACTCAATAAACGCTAGATTACAAGAAGGAATCCAGGTGGTAGGCATTTCATCTGTTATTCGTAAAACACACAATACTTATTAGTAAATTCAAAGATTCAAAGAAATTAAGACTTACTCTCCTTTTTTACGCAACCAAATAGGATCCAGTTCATTTTTGGACAGATCATCGGGTACAACTCGATCTAATAGTTTTCTTCTATATTCAGCTTGTTTATTTAACCACTAAATTAGAAAAGAGGTGAAGAAGTGTGTTATTCCAAATACTGTCTAAGTAATAAGTAATATATAGCAATACCAAAACGTTTCCCATCAACACTGCAATTTATTGGAGTAAAATTTCGATAGAATCTGTTTCAAACTATAGTTCTCTTTCTGTAAATACATAAACCTTTAATCCATATTAATTTGTTCATTAGATGTACGAAACAGTGAAACAGCGTTATTTACTGGATAACACAGTTTCAAATACAATTTATTCATCACACTTATATCACCAGCTGAAAATACACAACTTCGAAACTCAAGTTCTATAGTTTCCCTTATTTCTTCATATTCGTCATAGAAGTACTAGAACTTTCCAGATATCCAGATGAACAGATGTTGAATCATTCCTATTGCACGCATTGTTAGTTGATTCGATGAATAAAGCTTTAATTATCAAGCTCACCCTCCACCATGTTATATTCGATTTTAGATCTGTCACCTTATCTCATCCTATTGTGTGGTTGTGTGCAGTGACATGTAGTGCTATAGCTGAACTATCCTCCATATTTCTTATCTTATTCGGGTCACCTAATCTAGATTTCGCTGGGTTTTTGTGCCCCGCTAGTCTCACTGACCATAGTCTACTACTCTGACCTATTTATTTGACCTGACAATCATTGCAGCAGGTTGTTAGATAAACTAAATTGTTTTGTTTTAACGGCTCCACAGGATCCTTTAGCTGACAAAGCTTGTTTCTAACTGAGTTTTCGGGTTTGAATTCACTTTTATTATTGCCTTGTTAAGAATTCTCCGGCGTAAGGTTTCCGAGGGTCTTTCTTTGTATAGAATTACTACTGATGACTTAGATTCTTTATTGTTGGTGTTGTCATTGTCTTGAGCATATTTGACATGCGTGTCGTCATTATTATTATTCATTTGAATTTACATTTTCGTACATATCCATATCAGATTAATAACTTCTTTTAAATGCCTTACTTCCTGTCTTAGATTTTCCTTGGCACTACTTAGTTTTTGTGCCGTATTACTCAAACATTTCCCATTTCACCAATCCTATTTTCGGTGACATGAGGTGAGATGAACGGAAATCCAGAAATTGGTTCGAATGTGTAGGTTTCCAGTAAAGACTTTTGTGTTTAATTTATCATTCTCTTTCCTTTTTTAAGCTACAATCTAAAATTCGAATCTGCTCTTCCTGACTTTCCGGTTTATAAGTGTCTACTTAATTTGATTTGTTACAAAAATCTATTGACCTCCTGTGTTATGGTGAATGTGTCATCTACATACCTCCACTGCACTTTGGGTGTGGGGCCGAACATTTCAATCACTAAGTTTCCCCACTTATCCATAAATATATGTGCCACTATCGTGGATACTGACGACTCAATATAGACTATCCCAGTTTGTCTACATATTTTACCGTGGAATTTAAACACTGTAAATAAAACAATTTGGTTTAGCTAATACCCTGCTGCAATGATTGTCAGGTCAAATACATAGGTCAAAGTAGTAGAACATGGTCAGTCAGACTAGTGGAGCACAAGAACCCAACAAAATCTAGATTAGTTGACCCTAATAAGATAAGAAATCTGGAGAATAGCTTAGTTATAACACTACATGCAACTTCACACAACCACACAATAGGATGAGATAAGGTGACAGTTCTAAAATCTAATACAACATGGCGGAGGGTGAGCTTGATAACTAAAGCTTTATTCATCGAATCAACTAACAATGCGTGCAATAGGAATGATTCAACATCTGTTCAGCTGGATATCTGGAAAGTTCTACTACTTCTATGACGAATATGAATAAATAAGGGAAACTATAGAACTTGAGTTTCGCAGTTGTGTATTTTCCGCTGATGATATAAGTGTGATGAATAAATTTTGTTCGAATTTGTGTTATCCAGTGAATAATGCTGTTTCAGTGTGTGATACATCTAATAAACAGACTAATATAACATTACACACTACCGTATTGCTCAAGTTTTACACATATCACGGAATATACACAATTGATCATATGGAATAAAAAGACAGTTGCAGCGAAGAAAATTTTCTTTTTCGACGAAGTCATCATCTAGGCTGTACATTCGTGTATTTATATCAAATGGATGGAAAGTTCCAGAATAATTTCTGGTTAGGGGTTAAATTAATAAAAATTACAATTAGGAATTAGAATGCCGTAATAAACAGGGAGACGGGTATAACTCAAACAAAGTAGCATAATAACTAAGAAGATTGACATTGTGCAATTGGGGGTTAGAAATGTAGAAATAACAAAATATACAGGATGTTTGGATAAAAAACTAATTTGATGAATAATTGTTTATGCAATCAGGGATTAAATATGTAGAAATAGTAATAAAATGACAAAATAAACAGGAAGTGTGGATATGAAAATATGGTAGTGTAGACAGGGCTTAAGAAAAACTTAAAATAACATGAATAAACAGGAAGTTTAGATAAGAAAGGCGATGGGATGGTCATTACTAAAAAAAATTTTTACCTGTTTATGATGGCCATGGCAGGGACAGGGGTTGGACGTATTTCTTTTGTATACAAAGAGTGGGTTTGAGTTTTTGGATAGCTAAAGCCTCAGCTATGCCCAAATGTCTTGATTTCACTCCCTTTGATAGGTTTGATTGAATCTTGTATATTATTTTGAAGGACTTTTCGAAAGGCGCTGAATGTCCTGAGTTGACCAGATGTTCATCACACTAGTTATTATTCACCAACACAATTATTCATCACACTAGTTTTTTATCCAAACATCCTGTATATTTTGTTATTTCTACATTTCTAACCCCCAATTGCACAATGTCAATCTTCTTAGTTATTATACTACTTTGTTTGAGTTATACCCGTCTCCCTGTTTATTACGGCATTCTAATTCCTAATTGTAATTTTTATTAATTTAACCCCTAACCAGAAATTATTCTGGAACTTTCCATCCATTTGATATAAATACACGAATGTACAGCCTAGATGATGACTTCGTCGAAAAAGAAAATTTTCTTCGCTGCAACTGTCTTTTTACACATATAGAAAAATAATCGTTGTTACCACATAATTACACAGCTTCAGTATGTAATAACCAGTTCTGATGGTATAGGATCTATGCATCTTCAAGGTGTTTGACTATCGTCGTCACTGTTGCAGCTTTGGTCGCTTTTGTTGAACTGACGCATTAATACTTGAAAGCAGGACTTGTGGTTCTATGCAAGTGCTGATGAAATCACAAACTTCAATCACGTGGCCTAACTGGAATATGTATCACACTGCATACACTTAGAACCCAAACTGATGATTCGGTATACCTTTTTGTTGAATGTAAAAAGATGACACATTTTCGTATATCTTTTGTTTTAATTGACATTTTTGTTTTAATGATAACCTTTTCACTCGATTTGAAATATACTCACGTCTTTGTTATCGCTTTGTGTTCTCGCTCTCCACAACTGTAAATTTGCCATACTGATTCTTGGTTGCATAGTTTGGAATTTACAGGAATCTCTCATCTCCATCCACAGAGTATTCAATAACCCTTTCTCAACATCCAAAGTGGAGAAAACACCATCGAAGCATACACAGTGAACTATATCACTGGATTATATCGTTTTAATTGTGAAAATGGACTAGATCCTATTTGCAAGTGACTATACTTTCCTATAACTCATTTACCCTGATAACTACAATATACTGTTTAAATATCCTTATTAATTTGGACTTTTATTTTTGATATTTTGTATGATTCCTGAGTATAGTGTCTAGTCCCACACATGCATACTCAAAAGGCTGCCTGTGTTAGAATTTAAATTTTCCGTTTATCACGTATTAATAAACAGTACATCGTACTGATGGTGGCACAGCGGTAGAATACTCGCCAACCACGCTGGATAATACAAGCTTAATATAAGCTTTCAAGGGTTTAAGGATTTGATTTTTTCCGAATTTGACCACGTATTGATACCAGTTAGAGAACAATTGGAAAACCTTCAGGGGATTATTCAACTGCTGTTTCATCCTAGTGCTTGGGAATCATCGTCAGTACGCACCCACCGCTGGAATTCCAATCCAGGACCTACCGGTTACAAGGCCAACTCGTATACCATTCAGCCACTGGGACCCGATTCAATGGCCAGCCCATGAATTCTAACTTCTACCAATTCATGGACCATAGATTCGGGTCCCCAGTGGGTGTGTACTGTCGATGATTCCCAAACTAGGATGAAACAGCAGTCGAATAATCCCCTGGTGGTTTTCCAATTGTTCTCTAACTGATATCAATCCGTGGTTAAATCAGAAAGTATAAGCAACATCATTCCAAAAATAATGTAGGTAGACGAATTATTCGTGCGTCAGTGGCACAGCGGTGGAATGCTCGCCAACCACACATGTGGTCCGGGGTTCGACCCCCAGCCGCCGACGCACTCCTTTACCTCGCTAAGCCAGTAATAAGGCTGCTAAAGAGGGAAGGTTAGGCATGAGGCTAGCAACCCCATCTTGTAAATATAAACACCACTACTACCAAAACATCAAGCCTCTAGCTTGAAGCCCTATGTTCCACTGGGGACGTGAAGGAATAAAAAACGAAAACACGATACTGATAAAATGACGAATGGATATAAATGTTTCACCCTAATTAAACATTCTGTATAACTAAGTTGAAATGTAAATTTAAACCTACCTCCTCTTCAGCTTGTTTATTCGATTCTCTTTCAGGTGTAGGAAATACTCTCGGAGTAAACTGTACTTCAATTGTCGATGAAGTCCTTACAGGTAAATCAATTGATTTTTCAGTAAAAATAGATTTATTTGGAATGCTGTTAGCTGCTTTCACTAAATATACATTTTTGTTTAGTGCAAGAAAAAATCGAATGACTAACTTTTCTCCTCTTTGGGAATATTTTTGGTCATGTGTTCTTTAACAAATCGTCGGGCTTCTTTAATTTTATTTTGAAGCTGTATAGAGTAAACAAATAATAGTAATAGCCGGTTTGTTGATATAATAATTGCATAAATATAATTGGTGGATGGTGACTAGCAGTGGAATCCAGGATGCGCATTTCGTCCGATTTGGGACTCGTCATCTGGATGTACCTGCATTCCCCAGATGACGAGTCCCAAATAGGACGAAACGCGCATCCTGGTGGATTCCACTGCTAGTCACCACCCACCAATTAAATTCTAATTAAATGCCCAGACGTCGTCGAAGCATCTGCACAAGAAGCCAACAGACATGTCAACCTGAGACCGAGCACTTTGGTCCAATCAATCGACGGGAAAATCCAAAATATTTAATTAAATTGCATAAATAATTAAAATAAATCTATTCTAACTTCTGCCAATTCATGACATAGCGCGAACACTTCGCAATGTCCTACTTCGATGAATAACTGTCCTCACCTTCAACCTACTGTACCCTACTGGTCATGACTTCCCACTAGAACCCTAGGTAACTGCCTGAAAATAGGGCTAATCGCTAGTGAACATCATACTAATTTTCAAGTACTGGTTTGGAAGGGATTTTGTTTGATTGGATGGAGGATTTCATCATGAGCTGACATCAGCTATATGCCTACTGATGCTCACTAGCGACTGGTTCTATCCAGGCAGTTACCCTGGGGTTCTAGTGGGAAGCCGTGACCAGGAGGATACAGTAGTTTGAGTTGAGAAGACATTACGAGGTGATCATGCTATGTCATGCATTGCCAGAAGTTAGAATTCATGGGCTGACCATTGGATCGGGTTCAGCTGAAAGGTCTACGAGCTCACCAGCCTTGTAACCAGAAGGTCCTTAGTTCGAACCCTGCCGGTGGGTGCGTACTGATGAAGGGGAGTCCCAAACATGGCTGACGAAACAGCTGTCCAGCACTCCCAGCTGGTTTTCCACTGGTTCTGTAACCGATGTCAGCTCATGATGAAATCCTCCAACCAATCAAACAAAAATCCCTACAAAACCAATACTTGAAAATCTATTCCACACATATACTTGATTTATTTTTGATTGGCCCTTAGTTTGAAATCTCAGAGAGGAGAGGAGTTCATTCAAGGTTAGATATACGACTTGCTGACTGGTGAGTGGGAACAAGCAAGGAACTTAGGTCGAAGGCTTTCTTCCGACCACCACTAACTATCTGATACTAAATTTATTATGAATAAGTGATGGTTGAGTAAGAGGTAGTGACGTTCATAAACAGTGAATTATAGATTCCTTCTAGGGTATAAAATCTATCGGAATATTGACTGGAGGTTTTGCACATTAAAGCTGACCAGTATTAAACGACTGAGAAGAGCGAAATAATAAGATGGGAGGAAAACCAAACCTGAATTTCGTATTATTACTATTTATAATAAAAACTACACATTTTCTGCTCAATACTCGTTGATCTACTACCATTACTACAGGAGAAAATTTTCAGACAGAGAAACTATGATAAACTGAACTACTTAGTACAAAGCAGCCAAGCAAATATATTCAAAGAGAAATTCAATTTCAAAAGAGACTAACTCCCGGTTCGATTAATATTCCGCCTTATATCCAGTTCTCTAAAGAAGAAACCTACAACATTGGAAAGGATCTCAAATGCTTACTGGGCTGAAATGTCAGTATAGATGTAAAAAACCTCTTAATTATGAGTAAAGAGAAATTTTATAGGGTCGTCTATTTTCCTTGTTCTGTGTTATCCATTTTATTAAAAACTAATGCACAAAGCTAACTAGTCAATAGACTTCTGTTTTACTTTTACCGTTAATTTTCAAGATTTAATTTTGTAGGGATTCAATTTGTTTCAAGATTGACTGTGGATTGATATCATTTAGAGGACCACTGAAAACCAGCATTAAGTACTGGACAGCTGTCTCGCCCTAGCACTTGGGACTCATCAGTAGTACGCATCCTTTGGGGTTCGAACCCAGGAACTACTTGTTTTAAGGCTGATTCGTAGACCATTCAGCCCCTGAGATCCAACTAAATGGCTCATGAATTCTAACTTCTACCAATTCGTGATTAATACAGCCTGACCGCCAGCCAATGTCATCGACAAGTATTTGTCCTCACTCCCAATCTGGTGGTTCCCAATGTTCACAACTCCTCAATGTAACTCCAGTCAACTTCTTCATGCACCATACCATCAACCAGCTCACACAATCGACGACAGCAATGCATTTGACAACTTAAGAAGTGAACACTATAATAAAGGTTTTTGTATTTCCCAACAAATGAAAAACAAAGCGATATTGTTTTTACTGACGTTTCGCTATTTAATGCTAATAGCTTTATCAAAGCAGTATTATTAAACCAGAATTTACAAAATCTCAGCATACATGTAACAAACAGTTAAGAGGTGAGAAAATAGACTTAGGTCAAGTTAAAGGGACATATTGAAAGTCAAAATAACAATGACGGTCTCTAGACCAAAATAAAGCTTACTAACTTGATTATCGTTCGTCTGTCTGGGGTCATTTTTCGTTGTCAAGTTGGTCATTTGGTAAAGATAACAAAGTCAAGTGTAGATAGTTGCATTTGATCTGTGTTTAAAATTATAAAGGCGGTGTGTGTTTACGTAGTGAACTTGCATTTCACATTCGTGTTGATTTTGTCACTTCATGGGGGAGGGAAATGTTGTAACCAGGTTAGATTCTGTTTTGGTCCATCATTCCTATTCAGGCAATTTGGATTCCACTTGATATGAAGTGCTTCTGATATTAGACGTTCTTTATGATTTCTGAAGTTTTTCTGGATTATTTCAATATTGTCAAAACCAATATATGCTGAGATTTTGTAAATTCTGGTTTAATATTACTGCTTTGATAAAGCCATTAGCAGCAGCATTAAATAGCGAAAAGTCAGTAGGAACAGTAATATCGTTTTGGTTTTCATTCATTGGGAAATATAAAAACCTTTATTATAATGAATATCATATACCCAAATCCCAAATTTTTTCAAACTGTTAAAAGTGAACTTGGTTTGGACATATATAACTTAAGACGTGAACATTAAAACTGATATCAGTATTTAAATTTATCATCACTCAAAGACTTGAAAAGTTCAAGTAGTACTGTGGTGAGAGTTGTCTGCTAGCCGAAATCAGTAGACAGCAATTTATGTCAATGTTTACGTCCCAAATATTGGTCATGAGAAAAAAAAAAAAACAAAGACTAAGTCAAAAACCAATCACAGCAGACTTTGCGTGGGCAGATACGATTCACAGATATATGGCCTGACCTTCAAAGAAATGGCCACGAAGAGATGAAAAAATAACTTTCAGCGAGAAGACAACCAATCAGAAGACGGTGTTTCTCTGCTAATAATAACGAATAATAATAATGTACATAAAAATATATAAATATCTCTTGATTTCCTCAATGAGCGATCTGTTGCCTGGCCCTTGTCTTCTGTTGTTACAGTACCACTAATTCTACTCTATGATGAAAACCATAGTTTAGCAGTGAATCAAATAAGATTTCTTTCCTTTCAGCTACTAGTTCTTTTTTTTGTTTTACTTACCTCAATTTTCTCTTCTTCAGACTCTTTATGAGCATTCATAAAATCTTCAAGTGCTTGTTTACCCGCTTCCTCTTTTTCTATCTTAATTTTCTGACGCGTTAAATCCTCCAACTAATTAAAAGTATATGAGATTGAAAAAGTTCAATTAAGAGTTAATTACCTTCATAATTTGTTCCAGAGCATATTTTTCACCCTTCTTATTCATTTCTTTATTCGCCTTAATACGATTTCTTTCACGCTCTTGATATTCCACAACAGCATCCTGTTTGATTTGTGTTAAACGCTTTTTATCTTCTGTAGAAATAAATTTGTTTTGGTATTAAATGTGAAAATTTCTTCATTTATAAAGGGGAAAACAATAGATGAGTAAATATTTTTTGTGAGAAATCTGTATACATACAATTAATTACTCATATCATCTGATATCAGTTGATTCCATAGTTCTGCGTTAGTTTTCCTCAGATTAAATTGAGCTGTACCATCAACTAACTTTAAAGTACTTTCTTCTACATTGATTGGTTTGTACAGTACACATTCAAAGATGTAGGGTTTAATGACGATCTGAAAAAGTTTAAAAACATTAGAAATTGAAATTGACTTATAGTATAGATTACAAAAAATAATTTGAATAAACTTTTATAAACTATTGTGAAGATGTCTAACCAATAGGGAGAATTAGTTTACAGTTTATGCCGAAAAAACCTTGAGGATCTGGATTTCACCGATGATGCATGTGTGATTTCCTACAAACTGGAAGATATACAAGTGGAAAGCAACAAGTTGGAAGAAGAAGCATCTAGAAAAGATAGGACTTCCTTCAGGTGACCATAGGGAAAACAGAGGTGATGAAAATTCCTGGCTAAAAGCAACAGCCACAGCTACAACAACAGACAACAATCAGCCAGCACAAATGGGATAAATCTGAAAGAAGCAACCTCCTTCACCTACCTACTTACCTGGGAACCCTCGCTTCAACTACAGGCAGACGGAACTAATGAGGATATCGAAGCGAGGATCAGGAAAGCAAGGCAAGCTTTCATTTCTCTCAAGTCAGTGTGGAGGTAAACAGCACTCCGCATGAAAAATTAGGTGCGGATTTTCAACTTCAATGTTAGGCTGCACCGCGTCACGAAGGGCACTTCGAACAGACCGGAGACCTTCATCAACAGTTGTCTTCGCTTAATACTCAAGATCAGATGGCCGGCCAGAAAAGATCAGCAACAGGGACGGATCTCTGGGAGCGAACCAACCCAGTAGGAACCAACTGTGCAAGAAATATGCTGGAACAAATGGAGTTAGGTGGATTGGCCATACTCTGAGAAAACAAATCATCAAGTGACATCCAAAACACACCAGGCCATCGTTCGATTGGAACCCGAATGGGAAGTGGCGAGTTAGTTGGTCGTCAGTGCGAGGGTGACATGGAGGAGGAGGTGATGCGAAGAGGAGATGAAAGCATGTGGGCAGACGTGGAGCGAGGTGAAAACGTTGGCGGAGAAGTGAACTCAATGGAGACGTGTGGCTGAAGCCCTGTGTTCCTCTGGGAACTAAAGGAGACAAAAATAATTATTATTCCATAATAAGCTTTTTTTAATGTGAATTCACAAATATGATCTTAGTTTACTACAGAGTGGTTTGGCTAAACTAATTAATTTTCTCTAGTAAATAATTATAAACGTGACAATAAGTCGTTAGCATTTATTGTAGACTACTATTCAATCTTTATTTGTTTTTAATTCAGTTTTGATTTTCCCGTTGGTTGTTTGGACTGATATGTTCGGCTTCTTTCGAAATGTCAACTCCTACTGTAGAAGCTTCGATGATGTTTGAAGAATAACTTGGAGTAGTTTTGCGGATGGTGATTAGCAGTGGAATCTAGGAGATGTGCATTTCGTCCTATTTAGTACTCGTCACTGGATGTACCTTCATTTCTCAGTGAGTAATGGCGTCACCAAAAAGACTCGAACCCAGTACCCATCGTTTCAAACGCCAAAGAGTTATGCAGTAGACCAGTTGGGCCACGGCAGGTGCTGGCATCGAACCTCAGTTAGATCACCACTTCTCAATTGGGAAATGCAGGTACATCTAGATGACGATTTCCAAAGAGGATGAAATGCAAGTCCTCAAAATTCCACTTCTAGTCACCATCCACCAGATTACTATTCAGTCTCTTTTCGATTCCATACTGTGACTATTTGAACTAGATCAAGAGGATTGAAAATAAATAGAACATTTCTAAAATATTCCTTTATTACCACTTGCTAAACGGCCTTTAAGAAAAGCAGTGCTTATAAGTTTAATAGACAATTAGCTTGCTATAAGGCTACAATCACGTCTACGCTAAAAACAGCTATGGAATGAATAAAAACATGGTAATGATGAAATGAGCTTTATAATAAAATGATGGTTACTTAAACAGGAACGATATGAATTAAAGGAAATGCATAAAAGTTATCACCGTTCTAGAAGCTTCCTTGATACAAAATGAACACATTTAACCCACTTAAAAGAATACTCAATATTATCGCTTAGGTAAACAGGTCAACACTGAATTTCCTAGTCAGAATATCTAAGTAACGAATAATCTAAATTACTTACAAATTCTAGGGGAAAAAATAACTTTCCAATAGCTGCTTCTACATTGGTTAGGAACCTGGCAAACGCGTCACGGAAAGCATTTCTAACAGCTCATTAAAGACCTTTATCAGAAGCTACCATCGCTCCATCTTGAAAACTGAACAACCGGAAAGAATTAGCAGCGACATACTCTAAGAAAGAAACTATTGCCCAACAAATATTAAGGAGAAGATGGAGATGGATCGAACACTTGTGCAGGAGACCATTGGGTAACATCGCGTGCAATCCGGGTCATCTCTGGAGGGAAACTCGAATGGGAGATGACGAGCCAGGCATCCGAGGGTGACATGAAAGTGATAAGAGCCTATGGCAAGTCGTGAGGCCAGCTGAAGAGGACTGTAGGGAACAGGAAAAAATGGAGATGTGCTGTTAAAGCCCTATGCTCCACTCATGACCCAAGGGAACTTGCTGCTAATTACTGACTATTACAAAATCCAGTCAATAAACGTAAAATGCAAATTTTTGAAAATTACTTATTGTCTAAAGCCAGTTGGTATTCCGTCACATTTGTGAAACAAAAGCGTACACTTTAACATCATGTCTCGTGCAAGCTTCGTAAATTTCATTTGTGAGGATTGAACAAACATATATTAGCTAAAGAGAATCTCACTAGAAGAAAATAAGTTCTACTTAGGCAAAATATCATACCGAAGCATAAAATCTTCAACGGTGCTTTTTAGCTTAGATTACCTGACTGAATTCAACTAAATGATAAAAAGTAGCTACTAGAAACCACTGTATAATTAGAAAGCAATCTCAGTTAAGTCTGTATGTTCAAACTTTGTTTTTAACACAACTAAAATATTTTATTGGATGGAGGATTTCATCATGAGTTGATGTCAGTAAGAGAACCACTGGAAAACCTGGGAGTACTGCACAGCTGTTTCGTCCTAGTTTGGGACTCTTCATCGGTACGCACCCACCGGGGTTCGAACCCAGGACCTTCTGGTTACAAGGCGTATTGCTGAAGAGTCCCAAACCAGGACGAAACAGCTGTCCAGTACTCCGAGGTTTTCCAGCGGTTCTCTAACTGATGTCAGCTCATGATGAAATCCTCCATCCAATCAAACAAAATTCCTACTAAACCAACACTTAAAATATTTTACTTATTTGAATTGCTAAGTGGTGAAACCCCTTTTTTCAGATTGTATTAACAATGAACATCATCTCTAACACTAGCTACGTGCAAGAAATGAGTACAAACGTCACTAAAAATACTTAGCGAGATAAGACAACTTGGCTTAAATACTTCACTTCTGCTTTTTAAGTGACTATCTTTAACAAAAAAACAGAAATTAAGTCTGGATTTGACCTTCTCTTCAATAACCATGAAGGGAAATTTTGTAAGACACGCTGAGTAGGTTGCCTAGCTGTACGCTGCTTATGATTCGACACTATAACAAACACCACATAATGATCTAAATGTCGCTAAATAAATATCAGTGTACCATAGTGTGTTTTATTGAGCGAATAGTTAAAACGGGATCGAGAAGTGTGAGACAGTCAGTTTTCTCCTTTTTTTACTACAGCTTGATTCCACACCGTATTTTTTGGTACAGGTATGGAATTTTCAGCATGTGATATCGAAGGGAAACTGGATCTCTGCAGAGATATATATCGCGAGTATTAACATAGGCAACAAGAGCCTTCTATCCTTATAATCTGCATCTGATAGCCCAAATTTTCCAGGCCGACCATAGATATCAGGTGTGCATTAGCAGGGGATTCAACCCCGGACCATGTGCATGATCGGCGAGAGTCATGACCGCTGTGCCACCGATGCACCATTAGATTATCGTAAAAATTTGAGTGATATGCTGTCCATCAAAATTAGTCGGTAATATTGGACTGTTACCTAAGGCTTCTATTTTAAAAAATATCTGTATAATGTGAGAAGCATTCAAAGCAAAACTTTGTGTTGGCATAAAGAAGCTAGTGATTTCATTACAATAAATTAAAAAGGTAAAATAATGCATGAGGTATATGTTTACATTTTATTCCTTATTGACTGCAGAGCTAAGGTACAAATGAAATAGAGATAATCAAGTACTGACAGTAACCATGTACTGTAAAATTATTTGGCTTTTAAATATTTCCTTGGAAATATATGATTTCATCAGTTGGAGCATTCTCAACACCAACCCCCTAGCACACCTAGCCAAGACACACAGTGTTGGATATTGTCAGGGATATACAAACTAATACGGTGCCATGTGGACCTTACTTCTACTGATTAGTAATCTAGACCGTCTAAAATCCAACATACATCATTGGCAGCTGCATAAAGATATATCTCAAAAATAGGAAGGAAAGGGAGCAGTTTTTACTATTAAAACGAATGTATAGAGAGTTAGTTCCAATGTGGTGGGTCATGGCTCCTGTACAGACTCTATCCTGATAACCCTGTTGTTCAAATGTCTTTTCTATCTAAATTTCTGAAGGCACAACCAGAAGGCCGTATATGCATATGATACATTTCTAATTAGTCCTATTCAAAAACACATTCAGATTATACATTTTAGATGACGGAGTTTATCAAAATTCTAATTGTATAGTCAGCGAAATTCTTCAAAGAAATTCAAATAAATCGATAAAAAATGTTGAACATCTCTAAATATTTTCAAGATGGAGTCTGCTCAATTAGTGTATTGTGCTGAACAAATGGTGTTCAGTGATGCTCCTCCTAGTTTTGATTAATCGTTACTTGCCATTAACAGCAGAAGGTATAAAGGAGCATAAGACAGTATAGACTTTAATACTTCCCTTTTTTAGCATGTACAAAATAGATTTCAGTAACTTCTAACCAGACAATTAGATAGATCTTCAAGTGTTGGTTTCAGGATTTCATCATGAACTGACATCGGTTAGAGAACTATTGGGAAACCTGGAAGTACTGGACAGTAGTTATGCCCTGGTTTGAGACTCTTCATCAGTACGCACCCACGGGGATCCGAAAACATGACCTTCCGCTTACAAGGCGAGCTCGTAGACCATTCAGCCACTGGAACCCTGTCCGACTCAAGCTTACAAGAATTCTTAATTAATTCTAGCTTGTGCATCAATAATGTCTTTTTATTATTATTATTGTGTCCTTTAATTCCTACAGGAACATAGGGCTTCAGCCGTGCGTCTCCATTGCGTTCTGTTCTCTGCTAGAGTCTTCACCTGGCTCCAAGTTTGCCCACACGTTTTCATCTCCTCTTCACATGACCTCCTCCAAGTCACCCTTGCACTGACGACCAACTCACCGCTTCCTTTTCGGGTTCCACTCGAGCAATGGCTTGTCTAGTGATGTCACTTGATGGTTTCCTAAGAGTATGTTCAATCCATCTCCATTTCCTCCTGCCTATTTGTTCCTGGTTGGTTCGTTTCCAAAGATCCCTGTTGCTGATCTTTTCTGGCTCGCCATCTGATCTTGAGTATTGAGCGAAGACAATGAAGGTTTGTAGTTTGTTTGAGATGCTTTTTATGACGCACCAAGTCTCTGATCCGTATAGTAGCACTGACTTCACATTGGAGTTGAAAATCCGGATCTTATTTTTGATGCTGAGTGTTGTTGACCTCCACACAGACTTCAGAGTAGTGAAAGCTTGTCTTGCTTTTCCGATCCTTGCTTTGATATCCTCGTCAGTTCCATTCGCCTGTAGTTGAAACGACGCTTACCAGGTAGGTAAAGGAGGTTGTTTCTTTCAGGTTCCTCCCATTTATGCTGATTGTTGTCTGTTGTTGTTGTTGCTGTTGGTGGTGTTGCCCAGGAATTTTCATCACCTCTGTTTTATCTATGTTCACCTGAAGTCCTATCTTTGATGCTTCTTCTGCTAACTTTTTGCTTTTCGCTTGCATATCTTCCAGTTTGTGGAAAATCAGACATATATCATCGGCGAAGTCCAGATCCTCCAAGTTTTTTGTGTGTGTCCATTTTATGCCTGTTTCCTCATTGCCCGCTGTTTGTCGCATTATCCAGTCTACTGCAATCAAGAAAATCATTGGCGATAGTAGGCAGCCTTGTCTTACTCCTGTCCTCACTTCGAAGGATTCCGTAAGTTTCCCGTTGTGGATTACTTGGCATGCAGCATTGTCGTATAGCTGTTGGATGAGATGTATAATTGTCGGTGGCACCTCGTAGTAGCGAAGTAGTTTCCAGGTCACCTCTCGATCGACGCTGTCAAAGGCCTTTTCAAAGTCGATGAAGTTGAGTCTGTCTGTCTGTCTGTTTTCGACATAGAACTTTGCACATATGTGCGGCAGTTCAAGTCGCCACAATCCATGTAGCACGCAAAGCAAGAGAAGGAAGTAGAAGAAATGCAAAATATAGACAGTAAACAGTGGTGTGAGACAAAGGAATAGTAATAACGGAGAACAAAAGTTTAATTGGAAATCATAAGTCACAAGGAGTGGATGCATCTGCGCCACTGAGAACGATTTTGAGCCATGTCGCCAATTGTTTCCAACCATTGGTTGAGATAGAGAGGTGACTGCCATTCCAGGCTTTGTTCAGTGATGATCCGTAATGTGGCGATCTGGTCAATGCATGACTTGTTCCTCCTCAATCCAGCCTGTTCCGGTCGAAGTTTTTCATCCAGGGCATGTTTGATTCTCTCCAGGATGATGTGGCTTAGTATTTTGCTTGGGATGAACAGGAGCATAATTCCGCGCCAGTTCTTGCATTGACTTAAGTCTCCTTTCTTTGGTAGTTTGAATAAGTATCCTTTCTTCCAATCCTCGGGTACTTTGTCTTCTTTCCACACCTTCTCCAGTAGTGGCGTCATCAATTCCGCTGTTGTCTCTGGGTCCGTTTTCAATGCTTCTGCTGGGATTCCATCTGGTCCTGCTGCTTTTCCAGCTTTTAGCATCTTGATTGCCTTCAGGACTTCTGATTTCGTCGGGGGGTTGGTGTTCACTGGTAGCTCTGTCTCCGTTGTTGGTATTGCTGGGCGCGTTGTAGGTGGTGGTCGACTTTCCATTGTCATCCTTCACCGGCTTGATTTGTGTCAAACGTTTGCCCGATAGGTACCTAGTAGTTTGGTAGAGTGTTGCGAGGTCTCCTTTGCCTGCAGCTTGTTCTGCCTCACTTGCCATGTCTTTTTACGGTAAATGAATATTTTATGAACCCAAGCTTACAACAATTCTAAACTTATTCTAACCTATGCGTCGATAATGCCTTTTTATGGTAAATGAAGATTTTATCTACCCACTATGTTCTGAAATAACGCTGGTCGTGCTTAAAAAGAGAGCTGAGAGCTGAATAAAGTCTTGTCGTCCTGAAGTAATGCTAGTCAGTACTTAATATGTCCTGTAAGGGCTGGAACAACGCTGATAAGCAAACCCAGTATGTTCTGATCTATTCCTAAAAATGCCGAGAAAAAGAACACGGTGCTGAATTAGTTCTAGTCACGCTGAAAACCAGCACTGAGTTCTAGTCTGTGCCATTAAACAAACCACTCGAGAACAGATTCAGAATTTAATCACTACAGGATGCTAGAATTATTTCAGAATTACTGAGATTTAATTCAGCATTATTGTAAGCTTGGGAATATATATTGGACGCTTAATGAGACCATTATTCGTCCATGAATTCCAACTTCTGCTAATTCAAGATGTAGTATCTCAAATCCCCCACAAACCCTAAATTAAGCCTACACATTTCCTAAAAATTTTATTTGGCTGCAGCCTTTTCTGTGAAAACACGAAATTCCGTTAGATGCACAAAAAATTCCATAAGTTGCTCTAAATGCCTTAAAATAGATCTAAATTCTCTAAATTACCTCGAATTTTCGCCAAATATTCCAAAAACATCCCTAAGATCATATATTGAGGTAAGTCAAATCTTTGATAGTTAAAGTGGTGTGAAAGGTAACTCACCTTTATATATTGGCTCGTGACAAATGTATCCGCATTCGATACATTGGTAGTGCGGAGTGGCACAATCAACTCTAAATCACAAAGAGTTTCATACCATCGAAAATCTGTTATGGGAATCAACATTTTTGAAAACTGCACGTGAACGTTACCATGGTGATTAAAATTCCTGAACAGTTAAATCAATGAGTGGGATTTTATAATTTCCTATTCATTCCAATTTTGAGATCTAGGAACATATCTGGTATTCTTTATGATGCATGGTATCTATGAGTAAAACAGACACCACGCTCAAAGTTTCGCTGATATAACCTGCAACAACCGATTGGATCTTTGACATTTCGAATTTCCACACCGTATTTTATGGTGCATGTATGGAATTTTCAGCATGTTATATCGGTAGGCCAAATTTTACAGGTCGAACATGGATATCAGGTGTGCGTCGGCAGGAGATCGAACCCCAGACCATGTGCATGATTGGCGAGAGTCATAACCGCTGTGCCACAGACGCACGTAAAACGAGGCGAGTAGCACCATAATTATGAATAAAATTTACTGAATGACATGTCGTGATATAAAATAAGTTTTAGGTTAGGTTTTGGAAAGATCGAGTTAAGGTTTAGGTTAAGGACAGTTAAGAGTTTGGTAAACCTAATAGGGGAAATATTGGAGTTGGTTCGAGTTACGGTCAGTTTAGGGATAGTTTTGCGATAGGGTTGGGCTGAGGAAAGATTTAGGCCAAAGTAAGAGTTAGAAGAGCTAGATGAATGCACGTACAACGTGTGAGTTAATTACACTGTTGACGTCCCAGTGTAAAATTAAGAAGTATTTTTGTCACGTCGATGAAAGTAATCCTGTGCAACAGTCCCGTACCTTTTTATTCACTGTTTTCATAAATACACGTGTTTTATACGTAAAAATCTCCTTTTTTGTGTGATCGGTGCGTTATAGGTCATTTATCTGTGGCTACATTTCGGATCTTGAAGTTAAATTTCGCCATTGCAGCATAGACTCGCAGCATATAACCAATCTATGTCCTCTGCTATTAATGAGCTTTTCTACATAAGGTTATTGGTCAGCTAGTTGAAGCCAGCTGTCTATTTTTTGACCTCAAGCGATATGTGTAACGATAACTCTACATTTATCGCAGATACTTCCAGAAAACACCAACTATGCAGTACGATTTTTGTGGTAGAAATAAACTTTGTTCATTTCAAACTGATTTCTACTGTGCTGTGAAATAGTAAGTCTCATAAACAGCAGTCCTATGTAGTCATTTCTGTTGGCGATTGAATAACCTCTGTGGAAATCAAAGTTAAACTCTAAATATATATTTCTTATTTATGTAGGACACACCAGTTGTACAGGCATGCATAAGTATTATTTACATTATATAAATTTGATTTATAGTAAAATTACATGGTCTCTGTCATTTCTGACATTAGTTTGTGAATACAATCTGCTAACTAGTCATTCAATGGAGCACATTAAGAAATATAGAAATACTGTCTTTGTACAGAATTAGCTTGGCTTCATTGTCGTGAAAGTTCCTGAGTATGCATCCTAAGAGCATCCTCGACTTTCGCATCTGTGATGCAACTTGCTCAGAAAATGTTAGGTTACTCGAGTACCTCAGACCTAGGTCAACGGCACTTTGCAGTCTGGTTAGGTTAGCCGATTAAAGCGTTAATTTCATGTCAATTGAGGGTGCGCCGAAGCAGATCCAGCCACATTTGTTCAGGTTAAATTGTAGATTCCATAAAGACGACCAAGCAGTCACTTTATCTAATTCTTTCTGCACAACATTCTCAAATGCCTATCATACAGTGCTGAACTTGGTCTTAAAGTCAGTCACAGAATAAATTAGTTTCATATCTGACCACAACAAATGAAAATGCAAATATTTAGTCACCATGGGGACTCTTTTCTCTCTCCTATGCTTATGAAATCCTCATGGACCAGTATCCTGGATTATATCCGCATTTCACTTTCACAAACATGTCAGCGAAGTTGAAAGTATATGCCTGCAGCACTGTTATCAACAGGTTCGACCGAATGCTCAAATGTCTTAACCTTTAAATTCAAAACTGGCTAACAGAGTGGCCTATCCTTCTGTTTCTCTACAAATTGAGGAGTTACCTAGGCCGACTAGCGTTCTGTGCAAATCCAGGATATGTTCACATTTCTACTAGTTTTAATCCGAACGAAAACTACTAGGTCCTACTTAAGCCAATGACTAAATTTATGAAATTCGACAGCAATCACTTTTGTAATGATTCTTCAGCTGCAGCCCAACTTAGACATCTTCTTACCAAACGGTTTTGAATCTGATGACTTAGTCTGTTAGGCCAAATACAGATATAATTTCTTGTTAATCATGCGACAGACGCAATAGTTAAAGTAGCCACCAGTTCATAATATGTCATTGCAGAAGACCTTACTGACTTCACACAATCTACAATAAGTGTGTCTATCCTAGGTGTAGACCATTTCACGGCTCCAAACCAATTTAATTCATGCCCCATTCATTCAGTGGGCTCACTGCAAATCCAAACTAATATAATCAACAGCTGCCCGTCACCATGAAGTTGAAACCTTCGTATTAATGAAAGTCTCTCTTAAAACACGATGTAGTCCTTCCGTTGACCTGATATTGAACACTCCACTAGTGACATTTCTCCACGTCTGACCCATATTTAATCCATATTAGCAGGCCTGTCAAACCCAGAAGGATTTGGAAGCCTGGATTATGGGGGATTTCATTTTGATGTAGGCAAACAACCAACAGAAAATCACGGAAGGGAGCTACTCACAATCAGAATTTATAGAGACGATACTCATTTGATTCATGGGGAATTTTCGCAAGCCCCTTCATTTTCAAATTACCTCTGGAGAAGAGTGTAAGCTTCACCCAAATAAGAGATCAAGGGAGCACTGGAGGCTATATAGCCGCATAGGAATTCTGCTATGTTGTGGCGTCTCTCAGTGTGAATACAAATGCTGGCAATAATGAACGCCTAATAATATCCCAGCCAGTTATTCCCTGACCAGGAACTAGCAAATTCCAGAAGGGTGACACAATAGGCTTGGAAACTTGTATTACCAGAACGAAAAGAGAGAAAGTGATCAAGACTACTGCCAGTTTTTTTAATATTGAATGTTTGTCCGTATTCAAATGTGGCATATTCAAACTGGTTCCATAATTTTTGGAGGTTATAATCCCTGCTGTGGTCTAGTTACTTGCTGTTCAGACTGGAACAACACTATCAGTAGTATTCTTGTGAACTATACTGACGTTTACCTATAGACACTGGGACTGCAACATTTAAGCCTGTAACCGCCTGAACCCCCGTAAGCCATTCGGACATCACATAACCTAGGGTAAACTTTTCAAAAGTAGGTTAACAAACTTCAAAACGGCTCATCCAAAAATAGAAATGACATGAATGATGACATGACATTAATTTACTCCCATTCAGGTTCTACTCAGTTTCATTGAGTGATGGGACATACCCTACCTGATGGAAGTCTGATGTTGTACCCATTCATAAATACGGGTGCATAGCTAGCAACATAGCTAACGTTTAGTATTAACAACTACCGCCCTATCAACATCACGACTATGGTTTCACGTGTTATGGAAAGGGTTGTACAGACTCAAGTTATTTGGCATTTGCTTTCTAATGACCTACTATCCCCATCCCAATAGGGTTTCTTGAGCAGAAGGTCGTGCATTAATTACCACTTAGATTGTTTTGACACGCCACACAATGCATAGACAATGGGCATCCAGTGGCAACATTATTTATTGACTTTAGTGAAGCCCGGGATAAAGTCCCATATATCAAACTCCTAAAAACTCCAATCCTACGGAATAACTGGAAAGCTTCTCAAATGTATAAATTCTTTTCTCACAGAATGTGACCAAGTGGTCAAAATCAACCACCAGCTGTCTCCACTTAAGCCGATAATTAGTGGTGTAATACAAGGGAGCGTTCTTGGCCCTATTCTATTCCTCCTATTCATAAATGGCATGGCATGTGATCAAGTATGGCAAGCCATACCTCTTCGCAGATGATCTCAAAATAATATATGATTAGGGGTACGATAGCACGAGTGTCGAGAGTAAAATCCAGCACGATGTGAACAGTCTAGACGATTGGAGCGAAAAATGGCAACTGACTTACAACCCAAACAAGTATGGTATAGCCCACTTTGGACTCTGGAAACCGGGAATGTGTCTATATATGTACGGTAAGCTTCTCTCAAAACTGAAAACAGTCACAGATCTTAACATACTCAGATTTAACCTTTTCCGATCATGCAAATAAGGTAGTATCTGACTGTAAACGACGTACTGGCTTTGTTCTGAGTAACCTTTACACACAAGAAGCAAGGTTAACTAGATATAAGACGTGTATTTTGCACCGCACTTGAATAATGTGCTCTCCTTTTAAGCAATCTAAGGTCTACAGAGCGAAAAAAGCCGAAAGTGTTCAGAGATTCCTCACGAAACGCAAAATAGGTTTAGACTAGCAAGTGGAACATGTTGACAGGTGTATACAACTGAAATTAGAGCCCCTATGGTTAAGGAGGGTGAAGTGTAACTTGTTTCTTCTCTTCAAAGTCATTAAGAAACACTGTTACAGTAACTCACCCATGACGTGGGCAAATATCAAATCATATCAGCTGCAAGACCATGACTACCTTCTCAAGGTGTCGACCCAAAGAGAGATCATTAGGGCAAACTTTTTCCTCGTTAAATATTGCACTCTTTGGAACCAACTAGCATCTGAAATCAGATCTTGTGGAAAGTCTCTTGGGTTTAAACGGAGTCTATAAAGATACATTGACATATCTACTCTAGCTCGTCTAGAAGACCAAAACTGTTGATAGAATGGTCAACCGGAGACACTTCATCTCCAGAGTAGTCATTTACATCTACTGCTTTTGTGGCGAATGTTCAATCACTTTACTAACTTTCTCCTCCCTATAATCTTCAATAACTGCGGTTAGCTCATTTCTAAAACAATTATATCAGCGAACATACCTTAAAATAATTTACATATATAATTAATATTAGACTGTTATTTTTGTGTTGAAATGACTACCCTCGGTCAGGAGTTACCCA